AGGATGTTCTTGCTGTGCCACTGCCCCCTTTCCTGGGCACCCAGGACAGAGCAGCCCTCAGTCCCTGCAGAGCACCATCAGCTGGCCCAAAACCTGCCTTTGCTTGCCATGAGGTGGCCCCCAGAAGCTTCCCCGGGAAGCCACCGGGGCTGCCCCAATGCAGAGTGTGTCAGCACAGAGCCCTGCAGCCTGGGAAGGTGTGGGGATGGGAAAAACACGGCTGGGAGTGCTTGGATAGCCCAGCAAAGACATTCAGAAAATATGGCTTTTTAGTTAATGGGGTCAAGAACTGCCTGACTGATAGGCTCAGGCTTAAAATAAGTCCAGGGGAGTGTTCACCCCATTGCCAAGACCGGCTGTGCCACAGCGAGTGCAGGGGGTGCATCTTCCCCATCCACCACTCACCCCAAATCTGCTGCAAGGAACATCTGAGACATCGCTTTTCAGAGAGCATTGGGGAAAAAAACCAAAAATAACAATAACAATAATAAAAATAATAATAGTAATAATAACGAGAATTTAAAAAAGAGCTTAGCAAAGCCAACACATCAAATGCACAAGGCTCTGCAGAGCTGCAGGGGTGCAGAGGAGAGGAGCCCGGCTGTTGGTGTGCAGGCAGCTCTCAGCACGTGCTGCTTCACAAACACAAAACGATGTTTAACAGCCGAGCGTTATTGCTRTGCTTCCATTTCCATTTCCAGGGTAATCATTAAGCTTTCCAGATCAGCATCAAACAGTGCCCGTCCCACATAGAGCACGGAGGTGTTGGCGGTTGATGCTCCTCAGTCTGTGCTTTCGGGTGCTCCGAGCTGCGTGTGCCCTTTGCACTCCCGAGGTGCCCAAACGCACCTACAAATCCCTGTACCCCTCATTTCCCCCTGCTCTCAGGCTCCTGGCAGCTCCAGCAGCCTTCTCATTAAAAAATAGGAATACTTGTCTTTTTTTKRWYTTTTTTTTATCGTTTTGATCTCTTCGATCGTTTTATATAAATACAAAGATTAAAATAATTTATCTCAACATCATTTCTATTACAATCATACAGTGTTTTCCCCCTCAAAACAAGTGCATGTATGTGTATATATATATATATATATAAGTGTAGATATAGTATCTCTAGAGCTTCCCTCCCCCCAAAAAGCAGCAGTGACTGAAGCAGGGCCAGCACGCAGGAGCTGATCCTTCCTGCTCCAGGGCAAACAGGAGGAACAGCACAGGGCTGACCCTCACAACCCATTCCAAGCACATTCCACAGCACTGAGGGGAATTGGGGTGCTCTTTCCCCATCCTTTGGAACCCCTGTCTGCCCATGGGGCTGCAGAGCTGCCCTGCTGCCTCCCCACACCGAGGGACTGCCAATGACATCAATCCTTGAGCAATTTTAATTAGTGCTGGGGAGGAGGAGAGAGGACCCYGCAGCTTCATTTCCATACTAGGCACTACGGATGATGATTGCTAGGAAGGTATTTACACGGGGGAAGGATCGCACCTCCCCCTCGCCTTTTCAATGTTTAAAAGTTGGGACAGTCACAAACACCATGATCTCATGAAGGAGTTTGTCATAAACAAGCAACAGACTGTGTCTATCAGGATTGTCTAGGAAGGACGGGAAACAGCAAAAAACGCGGGGAGAGACAAATCTGCAGCAGAACCTCTCAGAATGAGAGCCCACGGCAGAGCTGGGAGTGCCAACCCTCAGGGAGGGGAGCAGGAGGGGTYTTTGCCCTCCACAGCCTGACTATTTACATCACAGCCAAAGAAAACCTACAAAAGCTGCTAATTCCTGCCCTGCTAGTGCAGCTCGTATGCTTCGGGGTTAATTTTTTACCAAAGAGTGGGCTTGGAGGCTGCTGCTGTGAATCTCGTAAAAGCATTTTAATAGAATAYATATAAATATTGAACTACAAAAATAGACAGCTCTGACTGCACGGGCACACCGAGGGTGAGCGTGGGCAGGCCAAGCCTCACCAGTCTGTGAGGGTGATGTCTTTCAAGAGGTTTCAAACTGAATTTGGAAGGAAATGGGGTCTGATCTCACCCTGCAGCTCATTCCTGCCCACACCACCACTGAGGCAGCAAGGGGCCCATGGGAGGATGCTCCCACCAGGCTGGCAGGGTGCTGGTTGTGGCCAGGGGCCAGTCCTGGGCTAGCAGCCCATGTGCCAGGGTGAAATGTGCCCCTTTGATTGCTCTGAGCAGCACAGTCCAGCAGCAGCAGCAGAGCACAGGGACCTTTGCCCTGCCTGGCAGCCAGAGCTCTCCCTGCTCAGGGTGTTTCACAACAGCAGGGGAGGGATTGGAAAGCTGAGGGTTTGGTTGGGAATGGGGCAAGGCTGCTCCAGGGTCCAAGGCAGCTGTGCCTGGCTGTGCTGGGAGGGACTGGGGGTGATGGGGAGGATTGGGGGTGCCCAGCCCTCAGCAGCAAGCGCAGAGCCGGCTGTGGATGTGACTGAGAACCCAACGCTGGTGCTGAGGACAGCCCTGTGCAGGGCAGGGGGTGCAGAGTGCTCCAGCAGCACATGGGGCTGGCTGTGGTGGGTGAGGAGCCACGGGGTGTCCAGCAGGACTGYAAATCTCAGCTGTGGTCCTGCTGCCTTGTCCGAGTGCTGAGAGTGAATGGGATGAGGGGAAAATCCGCTGGAGGTGCCAAACTGCTGCACAGGGGAGCGAGGGGTGGGATCTGTCCAGCACAGCAGCACTGAGAAAGAGATCTCTCCATCACCCACAGGATCGA